GAGAGAAGAGAGAGAGAGAGAGAGAGAGAGAGAGAGAGAGAGAGAAGGGGAGAGAAGAGGAGAAAAGGAGAGAGAGAGAGAAAGAAAACAGCGCGACTGGCTGTCGGTATGTCGGGTCGACTTTTTAAATGTTTCTTCTCTCGGGCTTCGATCTCTTATTCTTTCTAGCTGGCACCCTTTCTCTTTTCGGCTCTGTCCCTGCGTGTGCTATTAATGATACCGATTAATTTAGAACTATTGGGTTTCCCAATTAGCCAATCGGCGCTCACGATATATGCCAGAAGGAACTTACCCGTTTTTCGCAGCTTTCGAATCAAGCCAAACATGGACAGAATTTGCGAGACGACGTTTGTATGTATCGACGGTCTTTTCTTTAACTGTCACTCTGTCGATTTTTGTTCAATGAATCTCATTCCTCTTCTTTGTATACGCTTTTAATAGAATTTCTATAAAAATATCTGTATTTTTATAATGTAATTTCATATAAATTATCATTTTAGTAAAAATAAAAACTTTGCACTTCTTCTAATTTAGTCTTCTAATTTAATATTCCTTTCCTTTCGAGTAATACACATTATGATTTTATCAACAGTATATCAATTATATTGAAATATAATCTCTGATAAGTAATGAAACTATTAATCGGCTTTCAATTTCAAATAAATTAAAAGCAAGATTTCTACTTTAAAATTTATCTGACCCCATATGTATAATAATTGTACTTATTGTACAATGCACGCATCTCTCTTAATATTTTGTTTACTGACATAGCATATAGAACATGTTAGCGTTATACCAAAAAAAAAAAAGAAAAAAATTCATAAATGCGAATTATGCGTAGTAATGAGAGAATCATATTACGTGTCAAGGAATGTGTATTAAGAAAGTGTCGGGGAGCCTGTAGCGAAACCGATCGAATTTCTACTTTCTCACTCCCGTATTTCATCCCATGGTCTGCCAAGTCTTATGCATGCTGATCGTGCCAAATACCTTCCTACGTTCCATCTATTTCCTCCTGGCAGAACGTTCGCGGATCCGTATTATTTTTATCTGGTCATTCACAGCCTTCGCTCGGAGAGAGAGAGAGAGAGAGAGAGAGAGAGAAGAGAGAGAGAGAGAGAGAGAGAGAGAGAGAGAGAGAGAGAGAGAGAGAGAGAGAGAGAGAGAGACGTACT